CCCCCTCCGCCCCGCACAGCCGGCCCCAGGCGCCGTGGAGCCCCGGGCGGCCGCTGCTCCGGCGAGGTCCCGCCGAGCCTGGGGCCCCCGCCGCTCCCGCCCCGAGCCCCGCCCTCCGGCCGCCTGCGCGGGGCTCACGGCTCCAGACCGAGTCCCCGGGACCCAGCGCCTGAATTCCCGCTCTGTTCCACCTCTGACCTCCTCTGCGAGCTAGCTACGAATATTTCACTTGTTTGAGGTTTTTTTCCCTCTCAAAGTACAGATTAAGACAAAATTTCTGGGAAAAACCCAAACAAAAGTCCTTGGAAACACGAGAATTGCTGTTGTTAATAGAAAGGATAATCTGGTGTTACAGTGCTCCACACGCAGATGTGAATTCAGCCCTAAATGTGGGAGGGCTTGGCTATGAGGTCCCAAGGCATTGCAGCTTTAGCCCATGTCCCCCGGCTTTTGAACATGCACCACGTGTGACTGGAGAGCTCGAGTGGTTGCACTGTAAAACTTGTCTTTAGGAAGAAATTGTTCTCCACTTCTCCCAAACAGCTCTATGAAACACATACTGTTTCCTGGCCAGGAGTGTCCAGTGCTGGCCCCACCAAAAATGGTAGGAAAAAAAAGACAGAGCCTGTCTTACCCAATCCACAGAGTTGCTTGAAGAAGTATTTAGATTATGTTTAGTAATTGTTTTAACATTACTATTCCTTATTAAGATGCTGAAAACTGAACTATGTCCAAGTCTATGCCTATAGCTTATTTAGGGCTTCGCATAAGGGCTATTATAGCCTGTTGACGAAGAAACATGAAGGGCATTACCTCTCCTTCCTTGACCATATCATCCATACCACTTGTGCCAAATCACAGAAGATTCCAGAATAGATTTGGATGCTCAGACTAAAGACAGCAGCATTTTGTTACATGTTTTTTGTTTGGCCCATACTTGTGCCACAGCTGCTAGAAGGTGGCTTCTCATATAATTGGGCAATGATAAATATGAGCATTTTAGAACATTTCATATTTTTCCCCTTTTGAAACCTTTTAATGACATGGGAAGAGACCCCAATGAAAGCAAAGTCAAGGAAGTGTATTACAGATTAATCTTTTTAAAGTCATCTTGTAAGACATAATAGCCACCAAGATATCCTGCAACACATAATGGAAGGTGAATCAAAAATAATTGACATTATGTCACTTTGTCTTCCATTCACCAGACACAGAAGTTCATGTCATAGGTCCTGTGAAGCAGTTATATCACTACAATAACATCCGTTCTGTACTACAGGGACCACATTCCTAAGATCACCAGTCATTGATGGTATTTGCTGTGTACTGGAAAAAATCACTCCTTGAATAATTTATGGCTTAGTGGTGTCATGCATTAAGAGGAGCATCTGAACATCCTACGTGTAATTCAGTAACAGTTTCTGGTGGACCTGACAGAGGTTTCCTCCTGTCTTGTGTTCTGTTGTCAAGGTATTTTGTGAACTTGATTTAACTATTCTAAATTTAGGCCAAATTTGCCTAATCTGTCTTGGAAATTTATCCCAAAGCTACATTCCCTGACCACAAATGGTTTTTGTGGACTCTAGCTTACATATTTTGCAAAGGGAGCACCACCATCCTGACAGAAGCAATGACAAACTATTAAAGGTTATACATCTTAAAAGACTCAAAGATTTATAGAATCTACAGAGCCCAAGGATTACCAATGCAACTGTTTGAAAGACTTGTCTTAATGCATGGTTTTCCTGTAATAGAGCAAACTGAAGAATTAGATAAATCCAGATGGTAACTACAGCTTTCAGAATCTTCCTTCTGAGAAGATTCCAGCACAAAATGAATTTAGGTACACCAGCTGCAGAGTACTGCATATTTTGGTCTGTGAGAGTTCCCAGGCAGCTCCTCTGGGGCAAAAAATTGTGTAAGAAAGACTCAGTTTTAGTTTGTGACTTAGAACTGTCACTGTTGTCAAATCAAAACAGGTACAAAATAAAAATGTTGTGGGAAGCAAACATATCTATTATATATATATATATATATAACATATGATACCAATCTCGTAAGGCAAATTGCCAATACCTCTTATGAAATCAGCACAAATACTGGTTTTTAATATGGTAAGACAGAAGACCAAACCAACTCCTTAGTGCTGATAGAGGAATGATTAGCCAAGTAAGCATTTCTGTAATACTTCCTTCCCATTGTGAGTAACTTCTAGAGATAACTGAAACTATGATCTCCATCTGGTTCTCTCATTTCCCTTGAGAAACTTCTGAGTGCTGGGCTCCTTTCCCACCACAGCTCTCTAGATTTTACATTCTTTTGTTGCATTTTGAAAGCTGAATTCAGCTGGAGGCCAGGGCTGCTATTTGGAGAGAGCTCCACCAGAGCAATTCCAAGGTCTTGCATCTGGGAAGGAATAGCCCCATGCAGTAGTACAGGATAGGAGCTGTTTGGAAGCAGAAAAGGACCTCAGTGTCCCAGAGGACAGTTTGAATGTGTGTCAGCACTGTGCCCTTGCAGCCAAGTTGGCCAACAGTATCTTGAGCTGAATTAACAAGGGGGCCAGGGGAATGATCTTTCGTAACACCTCATCTCAGTACTGTCACTCGTTTGGGGCTCCCTCCAGTACAAGAACAATATTTACACATGGAACAGAGTCAATCAAAAGGCCTCCAAAACTGTCATGGACTGGAGAACATGATGCATATGAAGTGGCTGATAGAGCTGGGTATTTTCAGCTTGGAGACAAGGAGACCTTCTTGCTTCTTACAACTACCTGACTGAAGAACAGGACTGGAAAATGGATCCAGCCTCTTCTCATAGGTGCAGCATGATGGCACAAGAGCCAACAGACACAAATTGCAGCACAGTAAATTACATATACAAAGTAAAAGGGAAAAACTATACCATGAGGATGGTCAAACACCGGACTGGGTTGCTCAAAGATGTTGTAGATGTTGCTCAAAGACTCCTGTAGCCCTGATCAACTTGATCTGATGTGTTTGAGCAAGGAGTCGAACTAGATAACCCCTGAAGGTCCCTTCTGACCTGTTATGACTGTATGATTCTAAGGCACCAAGTGATGTGCTATGGGTGAAAGTCCTATGGTTCCAGGTCTAGATGTTCTAGAACCTAACTTTTGTTGCTTTTGGCAACTTTTTTCATCTCATTTGGGATTTATAGATTTTGTTATAGCTTTCAGTAAAAATTGTTCTACTCCTCTCTTTGCTCTAATTTTTTCTTTGCTCCAGTTTTTATTGCCTATTATGCTGATTATTTTTAAAAATAACAACAAAGTCTTAGTTGCATAATGGGTTTAAATTCATTCTTTTAGAATGGAAAATGGTTATTGATTTTATATTACTCACATCAATGTACGTAATTAGGCTCATCCTCAGAAACACAATTATAAAGCCACCATTATATATTTACCTGAGGTTCATTATTAATTCACTTCAGATAGGAGCCTCATGAATGTACATAAAACACATTTATTTGACACTCTAGAGTTTTTTGTTTGCTGAGTGGCTTGTGTTTTTGAAAGAGAATAAACACTTAACATTTAGTTCTGGATTATTTTAGTAAGAAACTTCTTAATTTTACTCTGCTGAAAGTGATTATCTGGGAAAACATTAGCATAAATTTCAAGAACAATTTTCTTTTTAGATTTTTACTGCACTGTATATATTAAACAATTCAGGGATGCTGGTGATAAGAAAAAAAAGCTATTTTTTTCTCATTTAAACACTAAATAGAGAAGGAAAATATTAGGGAGGATCTCTTACTGTCTTCTACTCTTGAACAAGTTCATGTTTATCGGATCAATGGCCAGTACTACTAAGATCCTTCAAGCAAGAAGAGTTAAAGAATATGAAAGACTAATTGTATCTTATAACTGTGGGTTTTATACATTTAAACAAAAGCACTATTTCAAAGTATCGAGCAATTTAAATGCTCAGGCTAGTGAATCCTGTGGCTCAGT